TCAGCTCTTTCAAGTATTCTTTCAGTATTGCTTACTAATGACATTTATTTAAAATAATAAAAAGTAGCTGCATATAGACTGAGATTGCTAATTTACTTTCTACCAGTTATTATAATGCTTTCTGCTACCAGAGCCTTTAAAAAAGAAAAAGACTTGCAGGGAACTGATGGCTCATGTCTATAATCCTTAAATATGAGTCTCAGGGACGTGTCCTGTCCAGGCTGGCTTTGACCCTAGATCCTCTGATCTTAGCTTCCTGAGTAGGTAAGCTTATAGGCATGATCCACTAGTGCCTAGAAAAAGAATTTTTAGTTTTTAATCATGCAGTATACCTTATGTAAGCATGCTTGGCCTCGGTTTTAAGTTGCCAGTGTGATTATTGATTATTCTAGAAGAATGTTAACTCGTAAAGATAAGCCTTAAATCAAATGTCATTTCCCAAAACTTTTGTGGAAAAAATTCATTCATTTATGAAACACAAGACCAAAAACCATTAAGAAAGGAATGAAAAAAATGATTCATGTAAATAAAACAATACTTTGTGAACAAAAAAAACACAGTAAGACAAGTTAAAAGTCAGCCCGCTGCCTAAAGAATTTCCCAGCATTAACAAAGCAAATCAAGAAGAGACAAATCAATAGCTTGTATAAGCAAATAAAAATCTGAAATGAAATTCCTAGAAGAGCAAATCCATTGGCCAATAAACACAGAAAGAGGCAGACCATCACTAGTAGTCAAAGAAAACACAAAGAAGTTGTCGTGTTCCATCCTTACGATAGTGACAAAGCTGAAGTGTCATATTTACCAACTATTGACAAGATGAGCCGTAGCAGGAACTCCCAGAACGTGCCAGAGGAGCTTAAAATCATGTGACCACAACTTAACATTATCGAATATTGTGAGAATGGAAAGAACCTGTGCTCAGGGCTTTCACCAGTGTAGCCTGGATAACTCAATTCCAGAGTGGGAACTGGTGAATCCCACAGCTTGTTAAAGATGCAAATTCCCAACCCAAACACAAACTTACTGGCTTAACTGAGAGTAGGTTTGGGGCAGCCCTTTTGCAGATTCTGATAGATGCTAACGTTGAAGGACAATGTTTTTTTAGTAAAATAACATTAGGTAATTTATGTCTATTGAACATAACTACTTTCTTTAGAACAAGAAAATTTACAAATGACACATGTTGCTCCTTTTGCCAAAGGTATCTTCAAGACATCGTGGCTGCTAATGGCTCATGCCTATAATCCTAGATATTCAGGAGGCTGAGATCTGAGAATCAAGGTCTGAAGCAAGTCATGGCAGAAAAGTACAAAAGTGACACTCTAATCTCCAGTTGACCACCAAAAAGCTGGAGGTGGAGCTATGGCTCAATTGGTAGACTGCCAGCCTTGAGTAAAAAAAACTAAGGGACAGCCTAGACCCTGAGTTCAAGCCCCAGTACCATCACCCAGCAAAGAAGAAAAGTCTTTAAGCAAAATAATGCACATGATCACTTTTATTTAATATGGTGGCAAATAGCAGATTTTAATATTTTCATCTGTGCATCAATCATTTATCAATAATTGGACTTTTAAACCATTATGATGGTCAGTTGTTAAAATCTCTAAGTGTTCAGGAGAAAAAAAAAGACAAGACACATTTTCTATAGCAACTTTAAGCCAAACTCTGCCTGTTCTAATAGCAGAGTGCATCCGAAGGCTGCTAGGGACACAGTCCTGATCAGAGTCTGGGAAGGGTTTACTAGCACAGTGTCACTTGAAAGGCAAGGGACAGTATAAAAGCAACCTGATTTCTTCAAAATGTGTGTATATATAAATTGAGTATTAAAAACCACCTTAACACCCATCAATAGAAGGAAGGGTAAAAGATACATTTAACGAAGTTAAAATGAATGAAAAGTTGGAGACATTGCTCAAGTGGTAAAGAACTTGCCTAGCAAGCAGGAGACTAAATTCAAGCAATTTATAATATCATGAAGAGGAAGAGGAAGGGGGAGAAAGAAGATGAGGAAGAGGAGGAAGAGGAGGAGGCAGAGGAGAAAGAGGAGGAGGAGGAGGAGGAGAAGGAGTAGGAAAAATTGGAAACCAGTTCTAAACACTATAAGAGCATTTGGGGACATTTATGGGTCCACAAATGTTTATAGAAAGTAACAAGCAGTCCTAACATTTCTAGATGATGCAGGTTAGCAAAACAACAAGTGCTGAGACTGAAGGCAGAAAGCTCTTAAGGAAGAGCAGAATAGGATAAGTATAGATGAAAAGTATTTGCAAAACCAAATAATGAAAGCTGGTGAGCCTGTTCTTGGAAGCATGTGGCAAAGTACACATAACACTGCTAGATTCGAGGCATTCTGACTAGACTGTGTGATGCTGCTTTGAGGTACAATTGTTGCACCCAAATTAAAGTCCTTCTTCATCTTCCATTCAAAGACCCTTAGAGCCATCAAGAATGGGAGCAAACACACACTTCCCATGTATTATCACTATGACAAAAAGCTAGGGTGACATCAGCACTATTTGAAGACTAGATTAGAACCAGGTCATTCCACCAGTAAGAAAATGCTATGGGCAAAAACAAGATCCCATTCAAGACTTAAATACTCTACAGGGCATTGGCAGCAACTGGGCAACCCAATGTAAATCCAATGTAATAACTGTACTTTTATTTCTAAGCAGGATGGCATTCAATCAGCCAATGGACCACAGTGCAATCACTGAGTTCAAAGCATCTTATTTACAGTAAACATTTTTGGTGTAACAAGCTGTTGGAAGTGACTCCCAGAATTTACCATTGGAAATGCAATCTGAAATATCGCTGCTGCATGAGGGAAGGTTACACATGAATGGTGTTTGGAAAAATATAAAAAAAACATTTGTGAACACATTTGAGGGTTTAACAAAGATTTTACAGCTGCTGCAATGAAGAAAATATTAGTGCTTTGGAAGTATTGAGTATTGGAAGATGGTGGAGGGGTTTTTCTCCTGCTTGCTAGCATTCAGTCTGAAAAGGAATGCATCATACTGCAAGAGGAGGGAAGTTAAAAAGTTGAGACACAGAAAGTTTTAACTTTCTAAGGCACCAGGGAAAAGTCACAACTGGAGAACTCCTTAAAAATGAGTATTTGGAGCACTTTCTAAAAACTGAATCTTTGTGACATCTAGTGGTAGCCTAAACAGTTACACGTTAATACACTATTAGAAACACATTTTGGTTCCATCTGAATGTTTGGTTTCCTCTGTTGTACAAAAATTCTTTTAAGGGCTGGGAAGGTGGCTCAATAGTAGAGCGCTTGCCTTGCCTGCCTGAGGCCCTGGGTTCGATTCCTCAGCACCACATAAGCAAAAAGAAAAAAACGAAAGTGGCGCTGTGGCTCAAGTGGTAGAGTGCTAGCCTTGAGCTGAAGAGCTGAGGGACAGCGTGCAGGCCCAGAGTTTAGGCCCCGCGACTGGACCCAAAAAAAAAAAATTTTGTTAGATAGTACCTCCCTATGTTGCCCGGACTGACATCGAATTCACTGCACAGCCCAGGCTAACTTTGGACTGAGTTCCTTGTGCCTCCACTTCCTGATATGTGAGATTACAGGCATGTACTACCATCCCTGGCTTGCTTTGGTTTCTTATTTTCAGTTTTTGGCAGTCCATACCTGAAAATTCCCCCATATTTTTATTAGCATCAATTAGTTGTGCAAGGGGGCTTCGTTTTGAGCGGCCCATATATGTGTGCAGTGTGCCTAGATCAGACTAGCCCCTTCTGTCACTCCTTCAACCCTCTTATCCCAAAGCAATCTTAACTTCATTGTTCCATTTTCATATGTGCATCTGAAGTTTTAGATCATACTCACCCTATTTGCCTGCCTCCCTGCCACTAGTAGCCCCAACCTAGACAGGATCTGTTTTACATCCCAGCCATTTTTAAGTGTATACTACTTGTTCAAAGGTTTTTCACCATGGCATTTCACATACGCATGTGTGCTAATCACACTGACCCTTGCTCGGTCTCTCCTGTTATCCATCAGCTTTCAGTGAGTTTTGTTTCAGCATCTTCACTCACAGATACAGTATATTACATGTACCCAGATATCTTTGCTGGATGTAATGCTCTGAAATAATGTTATTACTCTATATACACTTGTATATGTGGCTGAGCTGCTGGCCTCTTGTTCTCGTGGTTCCAAACAGGTGACACCCTCTCTCTCAGCAGCTCTGAGCTTCTCCCATGCACTTGGCCACACCCAGCCAGGCAGGAGTCCCTCAGCTTGCAGGTCTCTGCCTGACCCCTCTGAGTTCTTAGTGTACAACCATTCCGGCCAGACCCACACACACCCTTTCTTATCCTTAATCTCCATCCAACTAGCTGCCAAACCCAAATGTGTTTGAACCACCATTGTTCTCTTTATGTTTCCTGCAAGCTGAAAAAGAGGGACACTTGCTCCCCACAGAGCTTGATACACTCTGACACTGAGTAGCCCCACAACCCGGGTTCATCCTTCCCTTCCTTGCTTTGCCTTTCAATCTTGTTTCTTTCTCCTTCCTTCCCTTCCTTTCCTTCCTTCCTTCCCTCCTTCCTTCCTTCCCTCTTTCCTTCCTTCCTCCCACTCTTCCCTCCTTCCCTTCCTTTCCCCCTTCCCTCCTTCCCTCCTTCCCTCCTTCCTTCCTTCCTTCCTTCCTGCCTGCCTGCCTGCCTTCCTGCCTTCCTGCCTTCCTTCCTTCCCTTCCTTCCTTTCCTCCCTCCTTTCTTTTGTTCTTTCCTTCCCTCCTTCCTTGTACTGGGTCTTGAACTCAGGGCCTGGGAGTAGCTAGAATTAGAGGTGTGAGCCACCAGTGGCCAGCCTCCAAACCATATTTTAAGGCTACGCTTGAAGCCCACTTACAAAGATGTATTTTGAGGGGGAAAAGGCATAATGTCCAGGGTTGATGAAGAAGAAATACAAATCAGGAACCTGATGATTGAAAGCTTAAAACAAGGAGAAATGTTTATTTTTCTCATGTCCATCGATCCTACAAATCTTGATCAACGTTTAAGGTAACCTAAAAGCAAAATAAAACATAAATTTACTCAATAAAATAAGAAATGTAAAAAGTACAAGCCAAAAAAAAAGAATTTCAATGACTGTAAACTAAGTTTTCTATGTCTGTGTCTGTGTCTGTGTGTGCATGTGCGCGTGTGCCAATACTGAGGCTTGAACTTAAGGCCCTGAGCATTTTGGTTCAAGGCTGGAGTTCTTCCACTTGTGCCTCAGCTCCATTTTAGCTTTTAGCTGATTAACTGGAGATAAGAGTTTCACCAACTTTTCCTACCTGTGCTGTCTTTAATCAGATCTCAGCCTCCTAAGCAAATAAAATTACAGAGGTGGAAGCCACCAGTACTAGCTAAAGGACAGTTTTCTTATTGTTGTTTGGTTGGTTGGCTGGTTGATTGGTTGGTTTTTTGGGTTTTGTTTTTTTTTTTTTTTTTTAGTAAAGACTTGAGACTATGAGAGAAGCAGGTTCGTTCATGTGTCTAGGCAATTGGAACCAGGACGAGATTTGAACTCAGGTTTGAGAATACCAGATCTGTTTCTCCTCTACTATCTTTATTAAGAAATCAGAGACAGAGAAAGAGCCAACAAAGAAGTTGGAATTGAGTTTTCCCACAAAGATGTCCATACAACGGCATCAGGGTTGCCAGCCATCCACTGCCCCCCACCATCCTCAGATCTCAGCCTCCTTGGGGAGCTAGGATGACAGAAGTGAGTCAACCAGTGCCTAGCTAAACTTTTTGAGAGTTTCTGGTGATTTTGCAATGATTTCCCCAATAGAATGTAATCATAAATGATGTTTTTGAGTCACTATCCCGCCACCACTGAACTGCCTCACTAAGACTACTTGACTGTGACCTGTGAGGGTCTCACCCTGTCAGGGTGCAAGGAGAAAAGAGGATCAATCAATGCTTCCTCCTGTCACAACAGCACTAGTTGCACTTACTGATCTGGTGTCATGATGAATAGATCCTCCTTTCTATAAGCATTCTGATCTAGACAATAGATTTGCTATCGAATTGTCAGCTCCCGCCCCCCCCACTCTCCCCAAACCAGACATTAAATGCCACAAATCAAAACTCTCTGCCTTGTTCTCCCACACCTGGCACATGGAAGACACACTTGTTAGATGAGCGAATGCTCTTACATAATATAAAACCATGTTACTTTTTTTCATGGGAAATGTTTCTCTTTTTCTATTTCTCTCTGCTTTAACCCTGATACTTCATGCTAAAATAAATCCCTGCAAAAGCTTAGAAAAGCAGTATGAACAGCCAGGAAACTGGCTTTCAAACAGATCCTATTTGCCAATCAATCCTGGCCTTATAGGTACCATAACTTATCGAAGTAATAATGTACTTTTTAAAAAAAATATATGTATTTACAAGACATTTTGAGACTTACGTCAGACAACAATGGCTCCTCAAGTTCGACCACTCTGCTCAAGTTGGGCGCTCCATATCGGTCACTAATTTCAGCCAGTGTTTTGCCAGAGTCCACTGCTGCCTCCTACAATTATAAAAATCATTCTTTTCAAAACAAAGTATGGTACTTTTCTTTCATTTGATCTGAAACCTCAGAATGACAACATCCAATTTCAACATTGCTAATTAATGGAATTAACCAATGCCTGTTACTAGCAAGATACCCCTAAAAATAACAGTCTAGATAGATGGGGGACAGGGCGTGGGGGCAGGGGGAGAGTAACATGATTGTCTTTCCTCAGGGGCCCCATTTCAACAGGAAGTATCCAGAGCAGTCATCACCCCTTCTTCCCATCAGAGGGAGGATTGAGAGAAAAATAAGGCCTGGCTAGGTAGTCAGGACAAAGGCCTCTCCCACAGAGACTGTGCATCCTGACCCTGGCCTTGTGCAGTTTGGGTGCATAGGCCCCTAGACATCTCATCACCATGACCTTCAGCAGTTGAGCATGTATCCCTGGGCATCACATCCTGGCCCATCTTCCCCCGAAGACTTGCATGTGAACAATGGACTGACTGGACCCCAGAGGTATGTCCCAGAATGGGTACCCAGTGAGACCAAATGATCTGTGGAAAGCTCACTCAGGCTGCGTAGGGCCTCTGATTGGGTCTGGGGACTGAAATGGCCCACAGGCAGTCCCATATCTTGAGAGCTCTCTCCTAGAGATATTGTCTTCATCCTTGCACAACACACCTCAAGTACTTTCCCATCTAGCGACAGCTTTGTTCATCTTTTTCTTCAATAAAATTTTGACATTTTACTCCTCCCTGTGTCCACAGATTCATTCTTCATGATCATCGAGGTATCAATAAACGCTAAATCTTATTTTAAAATGCATCTATAATTTCAAAATATGTAATTCATTAGTAAGTCTGTGCTCAATATCTCAGGACATTCTAGCATTTCAAACGATAACACACACTAAATTCTGATTTTTTTCAGATTAGATACTGAGATTTTGCTGGGAAGCACCTCATACTTGCGACCAGCTGCTAGATTATACATTTTTGCTTCAGGTTTTTCTTGTATTCATATTATTTTTGAGACAGAGGCTCTCTTAGTAGCCCAAAATGACCTGAAACTCGTGATTTTTCCAGCCTCTGTCTCTTGAGTGTTTTTGATACTACCTTTATTAAAAACTTTACCTACGGATGTATCAAAATAAAGCTTTATATTCCTGAATACGTATTTATTTCACACAACAGAGAGTAATATCCTCTCACCTTTGAAAGTAAAGACTCTTTGCTCTTACCTGCACTATCTAGACTTGCTCTCCTGTCTTAGAGTGCATAAAAGTTATGACACAATTTTGAATATACTTCATTTTTATTTCACATTTAATTTTCAAGTCTTTTTATTTTTTGATAATGCTATGATCAATTTGACTGCAACATGCTGTCACTCTCAAAGGTATCACCTGACTCTGCCTAACACAGAACTTCAGACAAGAGTTTCACTGAATGGTGTTTTATTTTTAATCAAAACTTTTTTTAAAAAATGGGCTGAAATACTGAAACTAAAGCCAAAGGTGAATGTTGGTGGCTCATGCCTGCAATCCTAGCTATTCAGGAGGCTGAGATATGAGGTTGGAGGTTCAAAGGCAGCTCAGGCAGAAACATCTGTGAGACTCTTATCTCCAATTAACCATCTAAGAGCCAGAAATTGAGCTTTGGTCAATTGGCAGAACTTCAGCCTTGAGTGGAAAAGCCAACCAAGAATTCAAGGTCCTGAGTTCAAGCCCTAAGACCAACACACAAACACACACACACACACACACACACACACACACACACCAACACACTAAAGCTGAATTATTAACAAATGTAAAATGTTACGAACCAAACACATTGTAATAAAATCCTCTTTTAGAGTATTTGTATTGAACTTTGTGATCAAGGCTGGCCCTGACCTCTTGAAGCACTTGCCTCTGCTTACTGAATGCGGAGATGATGCCCAGGCCAGATCAAGGGATTTTCAAATAGAACTTGCAAGTTAAGTAGAGCTTTACCCATAGTAAGAAAGAAGTGAGTGTTTATGAAGAAATTAATCTTGCCCAAATTACTGTCCATGTACATGACCTTTCTACAGTACCTCAGCAACATGGTCTTTAATACCTGAACATGGCAGTAGAAATACCTCAACCACCACAGGTGACATCCCAGTTAAACCTCACTTTGACATCCAGCAGGGTGGCCTGACAGAGCCTGAATGGATTCATTTCTGCTGTTGGGAACCTTGTGATCTTGTGACCACATGAATGGTTATCCTAATAATAGAGGCTTACATGCTACTGTCTTCCAAAGATAGCTCCATTCCCTAAGGCATTTCTTACACTTAATTCACTAGGATTGAAACATGTCTATGTTCTTACCAGACTATGGTCTTTAGCTATATTTGACATAATCATTCCCCTAAAGTTCTTAACTCAAACCAAAAAAAAAAAAAAAAAAAACCAAAAACATCCATTCCTGCCTGATGGTTGGAGCCATAACATAAAATGAAAGAGCCAGTAACGGATACATCCTTCACCCATGTGCAGACAATGAGAACATCATGAAAGAGTAAAACCAAGACCCAGAGACCACGAGAGCAGAGAGTGCTGTTCATATTTGATTCTCTTTCTATCAAGGTTCTAGAAAGGCCTGAATGTACCAGAGTCCTTTGTTATTTAGATGTTAAGCGCTTTCTTCAACTCAGTGTCTTTCCAATAAATTTCCTCTTGAGAACCATTGTTTAAATCATGTGTCTGCAGTCACAGGACAATAAAGGCCAAGGACACAAATGCACATATCTCTGAGTGTGGGAGAGGCAGGGGTGTGTTGCTGGGGGGAGGGGAGATGAAGGATGGTAAGCCAGTAGGGACAGGGATTATTAATAACACTATAACACTATATGTCTGGTCATCAGGGCTACTGATGTCTGGAGATAGTGTACCACAACAGGAAACCTATCTACTTTTTCAAGCATCCCAGTAGAGCTATCAAGTTACTAGGATTTTTTTTAAAGAAAATGCTTTAAATTCCCTTCTTTTGAGCATTTTTTTCTTAATACCTTTCTAGTTTTCTGCTCTAATCTTCAATCACTGAAACCACTGGAGGAAAGGATGGGTTCATGTACAAATCTATGTGGATCCACTTCCCAGCCTAACATGACACCATCCTATTTCTCAAAACTGTGAATGGGGCTGAGCACCAGTGGTTCATGCCTGTTACTCCTAACTACTCAGAAGGCTGAGGTCTGAGGATCACTGTTTGAAGCCAGCCCTGGGAAGTAAGGTCTATGAGACTCTTATCTACAATTAAACACCAAGAAGTTGAAGTGGAGGTGAAGCTCAAGTGGTAGAATGCTAGCCTTAAGCCAAAAACCTCAGGGACAGAGCCCAAGCTGAGGCTCAAGTTCCAGGACTGCGTGTACACACTCATACACACACACACACACACACACACACACACACACTGTGAAGGGAGGTTGAATTTCTTCTTTAAAATCTCATCTCTTTTTTTATTCAATTCTCCCTCCACACTTTTTACAACTTGCTCTCAATAATGATGCTTTCCTCTAAGCCATGAATACAGATACCAAATACATTCTATAAACCCTGCTTTTTAATCTCAATTTTAATTATAAAATTATTAAGAGGAGAAATACTTAAATGGGAGATAATAGCTATAAAACCAGTCATTCCTAAGTGAGGTCTGTATGTAACACCCTTTCTGGATAATAAGCACTCTCAGCCAGATTGGAGATTTGACCTTGTAGATACAATAATGAGAGATAGATTACTTTTTGAAATGCTACCGTAGAGTTTATTTTTAATCAAAGGCATGGAAAAATCATACAAAACATATTTTGAAAGTATAGATTATTATTAATACATCTAATGCAAAGCAAAGATTTGTATTGCTATTTTAGAGATCAAAATACCCTCAGTACTACCAAGCACTTAACCTTGAACAGCTGTCAAACTTAGGAACAGCTGGCACTTGACTCAAATGTTATGGTCTCTGTAAGAGAACCTTACTGCCCACAAAGAAATGTCACATTCATAATTCTACTGGATCCTTATGACAATCTGGTGAGATGTAGCTCATAATATTATACTTCCATTCCTGTTTTGAAAACAGGTAAACGGAGATTGCAAAGGTTATAAAACTTGTTGAAGTCCCACAGACAATGGGGGCCAGGTCTTCAGACTGTGAGTCCCATAGCCTTTCTGCTATGACAGCTGAAATAAACAGTTGGAGGATTGCAAAAAGTTTCAAACAAGTAGATGTTTGTAAAACTTCAGATTACCTTCTCTAATTGCTCTTGAGCTCGCTGAAGTTCTTGGGCTTTCTGTTTCTCCTTCTCTTGCATTTCTAACTCCAGCTGGAATGCCAGTTGCTGCTGAATATTCAGAAATATATATACACCATATTAAGTCAGATGAAGTTCAAATAAGGAATTCTATTATTCTTTTCTTTTGTATGTGAGCCAGTAATGGGCTTGAACTCAGGGCCTCATACTCTTGTTTAGCTTTTTTTCCCCCACTTAAAACTGGAGTTCTGGGGTAGAGTGCTAGCCTTGAGCTGAAGAGCTGAGGGACAGTGCTCAGGCCCAGAGTTCAGGCCCCATGACCGGACCCAAAATAAAACAAAAACAAAAAACTGGAGTTCTATCATTTGAGCCACAGCTCTACTCCTAATTTTTTGCTGTTTAATTGGAAATAAAGAGTCTGATTTTCCTGCCTGGGCTGGCTTCAAACTGTGATCCTTAGATTTCAACTTCCTGAGTAGCTAGGTTTATATGCATGAGCCACCGGCACCCAGCCTACAACTTAAACACTTTTAAATATTCTGGGATAATTTCATTTATGTCCATCTAAGTTTCAGAAACTTACAAAAATAAATGGTCACAGACACATAGTATTTCACTTCTACAAATACTTCCTGAAGTATAAAACAGAGGAGGAGGAAACCTATTTAATTGTTAATTTTAGAAAGTATAGTTTGTGCAAAATCATGTCACTTTCCTGTTTTTCTTGAAGCTAGAAATGAGGTTGCCATAATTTTTTTCAGATACAATATCTGTAAGCATAGACAATTCATCAAAGAGCCAAACATTGGATAGAAAACCAAAACACATCTGAAGACTGTCATAAACCAAAAGTCCTCAACAGTATTTTTGGTCCCAACCCAATATATACATGTCACACTAGAACTAGGAGAGAAGGCAGCCCAGAAACTATTTATTTATTTACATTTCAAAACAGTTAGAGAAAAAAATCAAAAAAGTAACAATCCATAGCACATAAGGAAGGAAGGAAGGAAGGAAGGAAGGAAGGAAGGAAGGAAGGAAGGAAGGAAGGAAGGAAGGAAGGAAGGAAGGGAGAGAGAGATGAGGGAGAGAGGAAGGAAGGAAAGAAGGAAGGAAGGAAGGAAGGAAGGGTGGAGGGAGGAAGGCAGGCTTATTGGCATACAGCGGTGCCCCTTCACTCAGTTGTTGGATTGCTTTATCTGTGACAACAGAGCAGAGTAGCAACAGCTGAAGCCATGTGGTGTTTTGCCCTGCTGCTCAGCCCACTATACATTGCAATGACAGCACTGTAGCTGACAGTGCTTGGGGAGCCTTGGTAGTGCCACTCTATGATATTTCCTTATCTGAATCATGCGAAAGGCAGTCAAGAAATAAATCTTTCATGTTGCACCTTAAAGGCACAATGGTATATGGATTGTTTTGTAAGTGGAAAAAAATAATTATCCAGGGACACTATGGTAAAAAGAAAACAATTTCGCTTCAGCATCAGCAGACTAAGCACACGTCATGGTGTTTATTCTCAAGCCACATAAAAGAAAAGGCCAGAAAAAGCTCAATCTTTAAAACAGATGTCTATGTCTCTCCCTCTCAGCCTCCCTCCCTGTGGATGGGTCTCTCCTCTCCCTGCCACCCATGTCTGTCCACCAATCTACTTCTGCAGCTCTCCATAAATCTCCTGTAGTGTATTATTTTATATTCCACCCCTCCGGACAATGCAGCAGGCTCAGCACACAGCTAATGAGTTGTACTAGTTGACATGGCTCCAGAAATATTTAATTTTTACTATTGCCAAATCTTATCTAGGGAAGATGAAGCTGATGAGTGAAACAGAATTAATGTGTTCCCTTTGTGGTTAGAATTGCCTTGGGCAACAAGGATGTTGAGAATTCTCCTTATTCTGAGACATGATGGGGGACAGATATCACCCCCTAGGAACTGTGAGACCAAGGACAAACCCTCATGAGGGTTTGTTGCCGGAAACACCTTGCCTGTCCGGAGGACAAGCTGTGTTTCTGAGAGTAAAAATGGCTCTCCTTCCCCTGGAAGTTTGTCTGGAAGTGTTACTGTCACCCATCATCTCTCTGCTTTACCCAGATCCCACCCCCACCACCCTCTCTACTGCTGCTGCCCAGGCTACTGGTGACCTTGAAGGAGCACTTTGGGCAGTTGACCAATCTGGTCCTCCAAAAGGCTCTCTTCCCTAGGCTTCCACGATAGCACACTTTCTGGGTTGTTGTCTTAACACTGCTGCTTCTCTAGCAACACATAAACACACACACACAGAGGCAGAGTGCAGAAAGTGGCGCTGTGGCTCAAGTGGTAGTGTTCACCTTGAGCTTAAGAGCTGAGGGTCAGAGCCCCGGTCCAGAGTTCAAGCCCCATGACCAACAAAAAGAGAGAAAGACAGAGACAGAGAGATGATGATAGTAGAAAGCCCGATCTAAGAAACAGATCAGAGGGGCAGAATTGTCTGGAACCTCCCCAACCCCAGACCCCCTCGCACCCCCATTAATTCCAGGTACCTCAGGCTCTTATCTTACCTGCTGAAACAAGAGCTCCTCTGCCCTGAGCCGCTCCAGCATTTCTTGCTCCATCAGCGCTAGTTCTCTTTCCTTTTGCAAGTCAACCATTTCCTTTTCTCTCTAGCATTGTGAAAAGCAATAGCGCCATGATGTATTCGAGATTAAACTATCTATAAGCAATAACCTTGAAAACATCTTAATCAGCAAAGGGAAAAGGGGGTAAGCACATTTATAGTCTATCCATTTGGAAACAATAGGGCAACTTGGGAAAATACACATTTTACCTGAACAAAGAACCTAACATAATGTATTGAGTATGACTTCAAGTATGGAAAAAAGGAAAATAAAATTTCAGAAAAATATATAGAAAGGCAAGATCACACATCAAAAAATAAAAACAAAAAAAAAACGCCCTAAAAATCTACATAGAAATTTTCTTTGGGTATTTTTTTAACTTTCCACTTCTTGTGTTTCCAAAGTTGTTATATAAAAATAAATAGTATTTTCATAATAGAAATAAATATTGAAATCTTAAAAAAATTAAGCAAGATGGAGGCATGGTTCAAGTGGTAGAGCACCTGCTTTGTGCAAGAGAGATGAGCAAGCATGCAATGCCCTGAGTTCAAGCCTCAGGAAATCACCACACATACACATACACACGCAGAGCTGATAAGTTGAACTAGTTATTACACACCTCTATTTCCTTAAGGAGGCCCAGGCTTACCTGCTTTTTCATGTTTACATTTTCCTTATACTTGCAAATCCACAGGGCTAAATATTCTATTGGATCCAATGGACGAACTCTTGCCACTTCTGCAAGACCTTGAGTTAGACATGTCCCAAGGTACTTTTGAAGATATGTTGACTCCATTTCTAACTCCTAAACCACAATCTCTCTGAAAAATAATAATAAATGTGATATGTTAGTGCAGGAAGTTTTCAATTAAGGCACAGTGACATTCCAGGGAGGGCAACCAAGCATTTCCACCTTCTCACCACTCAGGGGGGACAAGCATTCTGACCCCAGGGAACTTCTAATAGTTTCCAAAAGGCCTCTCATCATGACATCATGAGAGCCTGAAGAGCTCTGAAGGTCAGTCCAGGAATCAGAAAAGGACATTGTCATTATTGAATGTGTCGTGGCCTTATGCCCAGCTCAGTTTATGTGTCATTTAATCCTCTCACCAGGCCTGAAAATAGTATCTTGACCCCCATGTGCAGATGAGGAATTCCACCTTCAAAGAGCAGGAGTGAAATGGTTCAGAGCACACAGCTGGCAGACAAAGGACACAAGGTCTCTACCCACCATAATTCCACAGCCCTAACTCTAATGACAACAAAGATGCTTTTCTAAGCCATAACAGCCATTTTTACAAAACATCACAACAGTTCACCTCTCTTTTAAAATCCATGTATTTTTTTTTCAAGGATAGGGCATAAAAATTCAGCCTCCAAAGAGGCTACTCATGCTCTGGCCCTCTAGAATCATCCAGGATCATCTAGGCCATCTAGGATTATCTCTGGAACCCTTCTTGCCTCCAACACACCCTAGGCTCTCACTCCACTCAGCACTGTGCCTTTCTGCTGAATGTGTCCATCTCTCTGGAGACTTTCTTTGCCCATCCTGGTAATCCATCCCTCTCTACTTCTGAAAAGTATTTCCTCACCTAAAAGATATAGATGATTTTTCCTGGGCTCTCTTAGGAAACCTTAGGAAGTTCCACCTGCTCCAACAGCTAGTGCAACCCTTGTCATACTGCCTGAGAATTATCTTTTTGGTTGCTTGTTTTTTATTTTTTTTGGGGGGGGGGAATGGGGATTGTCTGTTCTCCTGCTAGAGGACAAGCTCCTCAAGGTATTAAAGCAGTAAATGAGTTTCTCCAGCCTTTTCCATGATAAAAACAGTAATAATTCAGGCCAGATTGTTAAAAAGATATAAAATGCAACAACTACTATCTCTGCATATGGTTTGAAAAAAAAATTGATCACTGGGCTGGGGACATAGATCAAGAAGTAGAGTACCTGCCTGCCTAGCATGTGAGGTCTTGAGTTCAAACTCTGTTACTGCATTATGTATGTACATAATAATGATCATCTTCAAATTTACCTCTAATAATTTAAGAAACCCAGACATTTTGGGAGGGGTCCGGTCATAGGGCTTGAACTCTGGGCCTGGGCACTGTCCCTCAGCTCTTCAGCTCAAGGCTAGCGCTCCACCACTTGAGTCACAGCGCCACTTCCAGGTTTTTTTCTTTTTTGCTTATGTGGTGCTGAGGAATCGAACCCAGGGCCTCAGGCATGCAAGGCAAGCACTCTACCTGAGCCACCTTCCCAGCTCCTTCAAACCCAGACATTTTTGAGACACTGATAAAATGTATTCCATTTCTGGGCTTTGTGGGAACTCTCATCTCCATCTGGGATTGGAGCTATGACTGAAGTAGTAGATTTCCATATAGCCTTGTGTGGAAAAGCTAAGGGGCATTGCTCAGGACCTGAGTTCAAGCTCCAGGATTCACACACACACACACACAAACACACACACACACACCATCCTTCCCACAGACACAGTTGCCAGCAGCCTGAAGGAGTTGCCCCAAGCCATTGAGAGAGGTCTTCTGTCCACTCTTGGGAGACAGTCCACCAGTTAAATGGGAAGAGAAAGGCCCCCAGCCAGGGTGCCAGACTTAAGTGAATTTTGAATCTCAGAGAAATAAGGACTTTGTCATCTATTCTATTTGTAGTAAACAAAGAAAATGGTTCACCTGAAATTTGGGCGGGCAGTTTATCTGGCCACCATGGACCGGGGGCTTTCCTACCGAGGCAGAGAAGGAGGAAGAGGAGGAGGAGGGAGAGGAAGGAGAGGAGGATCTCAAGGAGGCCTGCCGGACTCCCAACCTCCTTTGCACAACAGCTCACACCCAACGCCCCGCTCCCTACCCGCGGCTGCGAGTCGCGCGTCTGTCTCGTTGCTAGGTAACCGTGCAAGCTCTGCTGAAGAAGGCGCGTGCGCTGAGCTGTGAGCTGGGGCGCGCAATAGGGGCGCGGGGTGGGGGGGAGGGAGAGAGAAGGTCGGGGATCGAACCCAGGAGGGGAGGGCGGGCAGGGAGGGGGTTCCCTGCGGGGGGGCGGGGCACTGAGAGGGGAGGGCAGAGAATTGCAGCTTCAAAGCCGAGCGCAAAAGAGCCAGGTGGACATTCTGGCTAGCTCTAGAAGAACAGGCGACCCCCAGAATTCCCGGGTGGCTGTCGCTGCAAGCTCTGAGGCCTGTCAGGTGCAAAATGCAACCTTAGTGCTGGGTAGTGACCTCTGCCCTCTTACTCCTCCCCACCCCCTCACCCTTACCCCCCACCCCCCACCCCTCACCCCCCCACCGCAAAGCCTGAGGCCACCCTTCTCCAGGTCCTCAGGATCTGCATTCTTCCCTGGCCCTAGCCCTGAGTGCAAAACACTAGAGGATATCTCCTGTTCTGTTTTAACTTACCCTTGGGGGGTTGCTCTGAGGAAATGCTGGGAGGAACTTGGCTTGACCCGTAAGTATCTGTGTGGGCTGGGAGAGATCCTAGGATCTTAATAATTAATAATTCAGTCCAGGAGCCCTGGCCCTGGACTCACAATGATCAGAGGCCTAAGTCAAACTTGCTTTTTCATTGCTAGAGTTTGAGCTCATGGCCTTGCACTTGCAAGACAGGTGCTTCACCGTGTGAGTCGCACATCCCAGACACCACCCCCCCTCTTTTTTTGTTTGTTTTTGCCTGACTTATTTTTCAAATAGGGTCACACATTTTTGCCTGGCTGCCTTAAATGAAGGTTAGATCCTAACTACTGCTTCCCAGATAGCTGAGGTCACAAAAGGGCAAGCCACTACAGCTGGGTTTGGGGTTGAGATAGGGTCTCCCTCACTTTTTGTCTTTCTGGATTCAAACTATGTCCTCTTGATTTCTGCCTCCCCTGTAGCTAGGATTTGTAGGCATAAACCAACATGCTCATCTAAGTTGAATAATCCTTACTGCTACGAATGAGGGTGGTGGCTTTTTCATTGTGCTAAGCTCACAAGCAGAATGGCAGCCACTCCATGACCAGAGCTGATGGTTTTCCTCCGTGGACAAGACAGGTTTAGAGGCATAAAGGCTCAATTAGCAGCTGGAAATAACATAGGTCTTCTATTAAAATGCAGATTCTGAATCTGTAGGTATGAATGAGAGCTGGAAATCAACATTTCAACAACCCCACAGAGGCTGGAATCCTGCCAGTCATCTCTCATTATTTATCTAATGTAATGTGTAGCTTCAGCTGGACCAGAGCAGCAGAAAGAGACACCTCCCTCCTCCAAGCCACACCCTCCACCCCTACCCTCAACACCAATGTCTTCTCTTACAAGGCTAACCCCAGAGTACTGGCTCCTTCCAGAGAATCTGTTGTCTTTCTACTTCTAGTGGCTACTATTGGCTGGTGGCTCTGCATCATGTTGCTTCTTCTCACTCTGTCCTGTCACCATATATCATCTAATCTTCCTGTGTCCTCCTTATACTGACTCTATGAGACCTATTTGTCCAGGCTACTTCCAGTGGCAAAATCCTTTATTTTATTCTATCTGAAAAGCACCTTTTGCCCTAGAAGGTATCTCATTCAAGTTCCACATATTAAGACATGCAGAGTTTTGGGTGGCCATCATTTACTCCTGGGACAAACCTTCAAAATGCTGTCTACAACCATTCTATTTTTTAGAGTTATTTGAATATATGTTTTTTTCCTTGAACAACAAAATAATTCAGACTTATACTTATTACACTTTCTCCTGTCTCAGCTCTGGTATTGGTCATTGCTTTAAAGAGTTCTGATGCCATTTATTTATTTATTTAGTGCCAGTCCTGGGCTTTGAATTCAGGGTCTCACTTGGCTTTTTCATTCAAGGCTGATACTCTCCCACTTGAACCACACCTCTGCTTCTGGTGGGGTTTTTTGGTAATTAATTGGAGATTAGAATCTCATGGGCTTTTCTGCCCAGGCTAGCTTTGAACTACAATCCTCAGATCTCAGCCTCATAGTGGCTAGGATTACAGGTGTGAGCCACTGGTGCCTAGCTTGATTTAAGTGATGAAAACAATTCAAGAACAAGTTCCATGTGCTTAAGGAGCTCATTGCTCCCAAAATGTTTGGGCCCTTGCTATGGTAAGAGCTAGGAAATATTCTAGGCCCATATATATTGGTCTGTCCTCTTAACTTTCTTAGCCTGAAGTCAGGAGTATACTAGTCATTAGGTTATTGTACACCACCAAATCCTTCAACTGGAAGAGCTGATTTATTACATTTTTACCACATGCTTCGAGGCCAAGTGCCTTTCATGTGTTTATTATCTCTACTAATCATTTAGTTCAGGGTGGCAGATATTTTTGCTGCCAACAGCCATTTATACATTTATAACACCACTTGTGGCCATACCAAATTATCAGTGCCTCCGCTGCCAAGGACAATCTTACATGTCTGTCCATCATGTACTGAATGATTTCACGGGCCTGATATGGTCTGACAGGGGTAAAGAATGAAAAAGTGTCCTGCTTCTGCTTTAGTTATTAAGAGGAAGAGGAAACCAAGGCTCAGAGAATCTGAGCAACTTGCTGAAGATCCCACAGCTCTTAGTGGTAAGACTGGAACTTAGTCTGATTCTGGCATCTATTTTTACTGCTCTTTTTCCCTGCTATTTCTAACTTACCATTCTAACTTGAAATATATTATCATTGATTCTTGAAATTTGATTAATAGTAAACCTAGGGACATCAGCCAACTAGTTTCCTGTTTAAGCACTGGACAGTCGAATATTGTGTTTCCAGTGGCTGGATGGCCCAGTATTTTCCCCTTCCTCTTTCTTTTCCC